AGCATACAATCAAAAATCAGTGGTATCACTAGGGACCGCATCAGGTGACATTGTCAGAGTGGGTGACAGGAAAATGGCCGTCTATAAAAGTTTTGTGTGGTGTTTCAGTAGAAATTTATTATTTTTTATAAAAATATCCCTGTAGTTACAACAATAAAAACATTTTTTGTAAGCCCAGCTTACAGTATCAATATACCTACAAAGCTAAAACTCTATGCTAATTTACTTTCTTTTTATTGTACTTTAGATGAAGGTTTACAGAACAAACTAACTTCTCATTAAACAATTAGTACACATATTGTTTTGTGACATTGCCAACCCCACAACATGTCAACACTCTCCCCTTCTTGACCTTAGGTTCCCTATTACCAGTTTTCTTGTCCTCTCCTGCCTTCTAGTCCTTGTCCCTGGGCTGGTGTGCCCATTTAGTCTTGTTTTGTTTTATGGGCCTGTCTAATCTTTGGCTAAAGGGTGAACCTCAGGAGTGACTTCATTACTGAGCTAAAACGGTGTCCAGGGTCCATACTCTTAGGGTTTCTCCAGTCTCTATCAGACCAGTAAGTTTTTTTTTTTTTTTCTTTTTTCTGTGAGTTAGAATCTACATTTTTCTCCAGCTCTGTCTGGGACCCTCTTGTGATGCACGTCAGAGGAGTCAGTTGTGGTAGCCAGGCACCATGTAGTTGTGCTGGACTCAGTCTGTTGAAGACTGTGATAGTTGTGGTTCGTTCGTCCTTTGGACTAATCTTTCCCTTGTGTATTTAGTTTTCTTCATTCTGCCTTGCTCCAGTTGGAGTGAGGCCAGTGGACTATCTTAGACAGCCGGTCACAAGTTTTTAAGACCCCAGATGCTACTCACCAAAGTAGAATGTAGAACATTTTCTTTATAAACTATATTATGCCCATTGAGCTAGATGTTCCCCAGGACCATGGTCCCCAGAGCCCTCAGCCCAGTAATTTGGTCCCTCAGGGAGTTTGGATGTGCCTATGGAGCTTCCATGACCTTGCCTTGGACAAGTTGTGCTGGCTTCTTCAGTATTGTGTACTGTCTTACCCTTCAAGAAAGTTACCGTTCATCTATTGTCTATTTAGTGTTTTTCCATCCACACCCCTCCCCTCCCTTGTAACCTTCAAAGATTGTCTCTTTTTTGTGTGTAAACCTTTTCATGAGTTTTTATAGTAGTGTCTTATACAATATTTGTCCTTTTATGATTGACTTTTTTTCACTCAGCATAATGCCTTCCGGATTCATCCATATTGTAAAATGCTTTGCAGATTCATCATTCTTCTTTATCGTTGTGTAGTATTCCATTGTGTGTATGTACCATAATTTATTTATCCACCATAGTTTATTTATCCATTCATCTGTTGATGGGAATCTAGGTTGTTTCCTTCTTTTTGCTATTGTGAACAATGCTGCAATGAACACGGGTGTGCACATGTCTATTTGTGTGACTGCTCTTATTTCTCTAGGATATATTCCTAGGAGTGGGATTACTGGATCACATGGTATTTCCATTTCTAGCTTTCTAAGGAATCGCCATATCGTTTTCCAAAATGATTGTACCATTTTGCATCCCCACCACGAAAGCATAAGAGTTCCAACTCCCCGAAGCATCTCCAATATTTGTTATTTTCTGTTTTTTTTTGATTCATGAAAATAATATCATAGTGAGATGGTATCTCTTTGTGGTTTTGATTTGCATTTCTCTCATGGCCAGTGATCACAAGCATTTCCTCATGTGTCTGTTAGTTGTCTGAATGTCTTCTTTGGTGAAGTGTCTGTTCATATCCTTTGTCCATTTTTTAATTGGATTATTTGTCTTTTGTTGTAGAGATGTTGGATTTTCCTGTAGGTTTTAGAGATTAGACCTTTGTCAGATTTTTAATAGCCAAAAGTTTTTTCCCAGTCTGTAGGTTCTATTTTTACTCTTTTGGTGAAGTCTTTTGATGGGCATAAGTGTTTAATTTTTAGAAGAATCCAGTTATCTAGTTTATCTTCTGGAGTTTGTGTGTTGTTAGTTGTGGTTTGTATACTGTTAATGTTGTATATTAGGGCCTCTAGCATTGATTCTATTTTTTCTTCTATGATCTTTATAGTTTTTGGCTTTATATTTAAGTCTTTGATCTATTTTGAATTAGTTTTTGTGTATAGTGTTAAGTATGGGTCCTGTTTCATATTTTTGCAGATGGACATCCAGTTTTGCCAGTTTCATTTGTTAAAAAGATTGTATTTTCCCCATTTGATGGATTTCGGGCCCTTGTGGAAGATCAGGTGACCGTAGGTGGTTGGATTTAAAACTGGGTTCTCAATTCTGTTCCATTGGTCAATGTATCTCTCATCGTACCAGTACCAGGCTGTTTTGACTACCATAGCTGTATAGTAGGTTCTGAGGTCAGGTAATGCGAGTCCTCCTACTTTGTTGTTATTCTTCAATAGTGCTTTACTTATCTGGGGCTTCTTCCCTTTCCATATAAAGTTAATGATTAGTTTTTCCATTTCTTTAGAGAATGTTGTTGGTATTTGGATCGGGATTGCATTGTGTTTGTAGATTGCTTTGGATAGAATTGACATTTTCACAACGTTGAGTCTACCTATCCATGAGCATGGTACGTTTTTCCATTTACACAGCTCTCTTTTGGTTTCTTGCAGTAGTGTTTTGTAGTTTTCTTTGTATAGGTCTTTTGCATCCCTGGTTAGATTTATTCCCAAGTATTTTATTTTTTTAGGGGCTATTATAAATGATACTGTTTTCCTGATTTCCTTTTCGTTGTTCTCTTTATTGGTATTTAGAAATCCAATGATTTTTGTACGTTCATCTTATATCCTGTTTCTCTGCTGAATCTTTCTACTAGCGCCAGTAGTTTTCTTGTGGAGTCTTTTGAGTTTTGTATGAATAGTATCATATCATCCACAAATAGGCGCAGTTTTACTTCTTCATTACTAATTTGGATGCCCTTTATTACTTTTTCTTGCCTTACTGCTCTAGCTAGGACTTCTATCACCATGTTAAATAGAAGTGGTGTTAAAGGGCATCCTGTCCTCAAGGGGAATGTTTTCAATATGCTACTTTACTTTTTGAACCTTCTAATATGTTCTGGTCAAAGCTGTCATTATTACCCAGTTACAATGATACTTTGAATCATGCGGTTTCAGCAGCACGCGCTACAAGTACGTGTTGTTATTTTCTGCTGGTGTTTTTGTAGTTGCTGATTTTTTCAAATTTTCTGGTGTTTTAGATACAATATTGTGGTCATTAGTATTTGTGACCCTATATCAATAACTTTTTTGAGAATGAAGTAGTAATTAAAGGAAAAGAAGGAGAAAAATCAAAAAAGGCTGCTCAGTTACTCATAATGTCATAACTAATAATGTTGTAATTCAACATAGGAAGATTTACAAAACAATTTTGTTGTTAGTATTCATATAATCTAAGACATATTACATTTAAGCAATCTACAACTATATCACACATTATTCTATGATTAAAATTAATAATAAACATTACTTAGGATTCTGTATGGTCTGGTACTGGAGGAGGTCCATGGAGAGGGTGACACCATGAGTTACCTCATTGGGTGATACCAACCCTAGTGACACCACTGTTAAAGATATTAATGCCGCAAAGAGGAAGTAGTATTAAACCTTGAAATAATCATCTTTTGAATAGTGATTCCCTTATGGAATACAAATCCAGTCTTACAGCTGGTCACTCCACAAAACCATTCTGAGAGAGATTCATTAGTTCTTTTGTATGGCTTTGCAATAGGACAAGCACTATTCTTGATGCTTTTCTCTTCCTTTTATGTTATGTGGGTATGAAATCTCAATATAGATGCTTATATAGTTCACTATACAAAGCACAGCTGTGAGATTATTGCTTACTATTACATTAAAGACAGAAACACAATTGAGAGGCCTGGATACAGTGAGCAACTGACGAGAGCTGTGATTAAAGTGCCTTTTTCCCTCTTCCACTTTTCCCAACGTAGTATCAAAAAGGAGGTCATTTGCGTATGCTTTGGGAGTGGAGTACCATCTTGATAGTTTGTATATTTTAAACCAAATCTGGTTTTTGCTATTCTTATCTTTGTTAATGAAACTGTAAGTTCATCATTTCCTGTTTTTATTACTCTAGTCTTCTATATACTGTTTCCACCTTCCGGCTACTGTTAAACAAATCAGAAAGTGGATATCGTCAACATTATTTGAAGTCAAATATTTGCATATATGTTTTGTTACAGGTTCAGGTCTTCCATTTAAAACATAAATAAATAACTGAGTGTTGTGTTCATGTTTTAGGAAGAAAGGCAAAAGAGAAGGAAGAGAGAGGAAGCAAGGAAGGAAGAAGGAAGGAAGGAAGAAAGGATACATGAGAGGAAGTGAGGGAGGGAGGAAGGGAAGGAGAAATGGGGAAGGAGGGCGAGAGAGAGAGAATAGAGAAGGGGGAGTAAGAGAGGAGGGGAGAAGAAAGAGTAGAAAGGACTTCAAGGACTTTCAGCATGCTAAGTTAAACTAAAGCTAGCCCTCTGCTGCAGCCTGCTGACGGATTGGAGAATTACTATTGAGAAACCATTTACTATCAGATTTATTTTAAATTTTAAATAACAGATTTATTTTAAATCCAACAGCTTTTACTATTTTATTATAAATTAATCCAGTGAGGTAGGCCTGAAAAGCATCACAACTCTAATTTCACAACTGGAAAATAGATTAATCTCTGCAATAGGATGAACAAATATCATAATCTGCTTTCTTATGTAGGAAATAGCCTGATATTCCAAATTAGGAAGCAATAACTTGGCTCCTAGCCAATTACTAGTTAGTTAAAGACTCACTTAAAAGAAGTTTATTTTCACACACTTAAAAATATGATGGGGACAGAGTACAGATGACAATATTACATATAAATAGATTTAATAAAAATTCATGAGGTTCCCTTATTCTACCCTTTTTACAGATGAGAAAACTGAACTTTTGAAAAGGAACATTCAATTCATACCTCAATATCGGCCAGCAGCATTTCCTGTAGTAATGCAGGAGGCATACTTGTTGGTTTTCTCCTAAAATAAATGGAGACATTCTGGATATATATATATATATTTTTTTTTCTTCCAGCATTCTTTGAAATAAGGAAGTGATGTAAATATAAATAATAAATATATATAATGTAAGCAATTTATAGTATATCTACTGAAATATTATATTCCTTATAAGTAAACTTAAGAAAACTATATGCTGTTGTTGTTGCTAGGTGTTGTCAAGTCAATTCTGACTCCTAGTGACCCAATGCGACAAAGGAGAACTGCCCCATAGGGTTTCCTAGGATGTAATCTTTACAGAAGCAGATCACCGTGTCTTTCTCCCACAGAGCCACTGAGTGGGTTCGAACTGCTAACCTTTCAGCTAGCAGCTGAGCACTTAACCATTGCTCCACCAGGACTGCTTAAGAAAAACTATATAACAAGTGGTAAAATAAAATAGAATAAAATGGTAAGAGAAAAAAATTCAGAACTACTTCTAGACAAAGATAAATAGTGAAATCATTATATAAACACAGGAGACAAGCGGAAAGGAATTGGCTGATGTTCTTCTATTTCTCTCATCTCTTTTCAAATGTTTCATTATATTTTAATATTTGTATAATAAATACAGGCATCAATTCAGAACCTCTGAGAAGCAGATGTCAGGACAGGAATAAACACACAAGAGGCGTATTGGGTGAATGCCTGTAAGGAATGGTCTGGATGAAGATGAAGACACAGGGTAGGCAAGTAGAACCTTCCGACTGTGAGGCATGTCAGACACCTGTGAAGAAAAGGAGGGAGGAAGGAAGATTGGGTAGGAAGAGTCCTGGACTGCTGCATTGTTCTAAGAAAGTTTTGGCTCTGCTGATGGGGAGTCACTGCCCCAAGATCACTCATTAGAAGAGTCCTGTGTTTGGCAGGGATGAACCGACACTAGTACCTCCATCATGCTTAGTCACTGGCAGGGAAGAGCCCCAGGGAAGTGTGGCTTCAGAATGAATGTGGTGGTGAATCCAGAAGGGTAGCTGGGGTTCTCACACAAACACACCCCCACCATCAGAAGATCTGAGCAGTACACATTCTAGGCTGTCACAGAATGCACGTAGGTTATAAATTTTAGCCTGCCACTTCTAATGTCTTTTTTTTTTTTTTTTTTTACATTTTAGATCTATTTCCACCATGATTATGCTCTGTCCCAATTCTTCCATGTTTATGTCTCTTTCCCTCCACTTTAAATATACTAAGAAACTGGCAATTAGTGGTCAAAGAAATTGAGTCTACTTGAGAAGGAAAAAAGAAGTATAGAAAAAAATCAAGATAATTTGCCCTCAATATTAAAAAATAGTGATGTTTAGTCCCTGTATGCTTCCTATACTTTATTCAAGCTATTCAAGATTATCACTTTAACACTGAGATTTGCCACTTGAAATCACAGAAATGGGTTTTACTCATATTATTAATTTAAAAATAATTTGACTTTCCTCAATGTTATACCCTCCTATGAATGCTCCTTCTTGATAGATATTGAACATCACTGTGGCAAATTATTCTTTTATCATATGGCACACGTGTGTCTGTCTGTCATGATTGTCCATTTTCTTCAACACTTACTCAAGATTAGGAAATAAATTGTTGACCACCCAGAGTGGTATCTGAATAAATCACGGTATGAATTGGCACACACAGCTTGTCAGAACTGATGCCACTATACTTCTTCCAGCTTATCGGGACTCACAAAATAATTGTTTTAGCAACAAAAAGTCCATGGAGCACTTCTCCCTCATGTATGTAGTGTACATATGCTAAAAAGAACTTCCTTCTCTGCCTATTAATGAAGTCCAACCCAAAACAGAAATACCTTCTGACATACACAGGTGATAATGGTTGTCCTTCCGCATTAAACACCAGGGATTTACACACTGACTGTCATGTATTGAATTGTATCCCCCTAAAATGTGTGTCAACTTGGCTAGGCCATGATTCCCAGTATTGTGTGACTGTCCATTATTTTGTCAGCTGATGTGATTTTCGTATATGTTGTAGATCTTACCTCTACGATGTTAACGAGGCAGGATTAGAGGCAGTTATGTTAATGAGGCAGGACTCAATCTACAAGTTTAGGTAGTGTCTTAAGTCAATCTTTTTTGAGATATAAAAGAGAGAAACAAGCAGAGAGACAGGGGGACCTCATACCCCCAAGAAAACAACGCCAGGAGTAAAGCACATCCTTTGGACCCAAGGTTCCTGCACTGAGAAGCTCCTAGACCAGGGAAGATTGATGGCAAGAATCTTCCTCCATACCCAACAACGAGAGAGAAAGCCTTCCCCTGGAGCTGGCACCCTGGATTTGGACTTCTAACCTCCTAGACTGTGAGAGAATAAATTTCTCCTTGTTAAAGCCAACTACTTGTGGTATTTGTGTTATAGCAGCACTAGATGACTAAGACAACGCTCAACACTGTCATCTGATAAAGGAAGTTGCCAGTGGCTTGTTATGCTTTCCCTCTAAGCATAATATTTGCCACTAACTTTGAAGGTGGTTTTACAAGTTTCTTGGCAATGGTGCAATTTGTGCCTCTTTTTACAGTGAGAAACGCAACCTTGAATGTTGCCACTTACAACTTTTGTCTATTTTGCTCTTTTAGCATAAACAAATGTAATACTTTTTCTCTTTTTGGCTTGACCTAGAAATTTTGGATTGATATGCCAGAGAGGTCACCGTGCAGTTTTCTGAAAACAATTTATAAGAGAAGGCTTCATGCTACTATTTGACCAAGTTCATAGGAGAGAAACCATGGGAATTTGCAGAGAAGGAAAGAATATGGAAATAGCTCATATTTCAATAGTTAAATTTTTATTTTTAAGCTGTTTGTGCAAAGTTTCCACATTCACAAATTCACTTGTCGCAGCAAGTACAGATTCCATGATTAGTGGAGTCCTGGTCAGTTTTGTGTATATATTGTAATTTGACTGATAGTTACTATTTTCATCACTGCTTTTATACTTCAGTTAATTACTTTTACATATTGATATACTTTTGCAATTAATGCAAATAATGGTAATATAATACAAAATATGAAATTACCAAATGTAAGCAATCAAATGAGGATAATCTGTAAATGTTTTAGTAGAGATTTACTTCCCCTTGTTATCTGAATACTCAGCAGGACTTATTGATTAATGCAGTTTTTGTAGCACATGCACAATCTTTAAGAATATAATTATTAAAAATAAAAAAATGCTTGCAATCAACACAATTAACTTTACCTTTCAGTTTTATTAAATGTCCATTAAAAAATATTCCATTGCTTTTTCTTCATTAGAAATCAAACTCTTGTGTAATTTTTGAAAGAACAACTGGAACTACCACTGGTCAGAGATTCCCCTGTGAGAAGTACTGCTGTAGAGCAAGTGGTAATCTTGGATGTTTAATGTATTAACTAAGAAAAAACAACTCCCATGCATTTGTCGGTTTGTTGTACTATGGAGGCTTATACGTTGCTGTGATGCTGGAAGCTATGCTACCAGTGTTCAAATACCAGCAGGATCACCTATGGTGGACAGGTTTCACCTGAGCTTCCACACTAAGACGAAGAAATTGGCAGTCTATTTCTGAAAGGAATTAGCTAGTGAAAACCTCATGAATAGCAGTGGAACACCATCTGGTATAGTGCCATTAGATGAGCCCCTCAGATTGGAAGGTACTCAAAAGATGATTGGGGAAGAGACGCCTTCTCCAAGTAGAGTTGACCTTAATGACGTGGTTGGAGTCAAGCTTTTGGGACCTTCATTTGCTGATGTGGCAAGACTCAAAATGAGAAGAAATGGCTGCTAACATTCATTAGTAATAGGAACGTGGAATGTACAAAGTATGAATCTAGGAAAATTGGAAATTGTAAAAAATGAAATGCGTAAACACCAATATCCTAGACATTAGTGAGCTAAAATGGACTGATATTGACCATTTTGAATCAGACAATCATATAGTCTACTATGCCAGGAATGACAACTTGAAGAGGAATGGGGTTGCATTCATCGTCAAAAAGAACATTTCAAGATCTGTCCTGAAGTACAGTGCTGTCAGTGATAGCATAATATCCAACTCCTAAGAGGAAGACTGGTTAATATGACTATTATTCAAATTTATGCACCAACCACTAAGGCCAAAGATGATGAAATTGAAGATTTTTACCAACTCCTACAGTCTGAAGTTGATCAAACATGCAATTCAGGGTGCATTGATAATTACTGGTGATTGGAAGGCGAAAGTTGGAGACAAGGAAGAAATCTCAGTATCTGGAAAATACGGCCTTGGTAATAGAAACAATGCCAGAGATCTCATGATAGAATTTTGCAAGACCAACAACTTCTTCATTGCAAATGCCTTTTTTTTTCAACAATATCAACGGTGACTATACACGTTGATGAAATATACAGGAATCGAATTCCCTATACCTGTGGAAAGAGACAATGGAAAAACTCAATATCATCAGACAGAACAAGGCCAGGAGCCAACTTCGAAACAAATCATCAATTGCTTATATGCAAGTTCAAGTTGAAACTGAAGAAAATTAGAATAAGTCCAAAGTATGATCTTGAGTATATCCCATCTGAATTTAGAGACCATCTCAAGAATAGATTTGGTGCATTGAACACTAATGACTGAAGACCAGACAAGTTGTGGAATGACATCAAGGACATCACACATGAAGAAAGCAAGAGGTCATTAAAAAGACAAGAAAAGAAGAAAAGACCAAAATGGATGTCAGAAGAGACTTACTCATGAACTTCAAATAGCCAAAGCAAACAAATGAAATTATGAAGTAAAAGAGCTAAAGAGAGGATTTCAAAGGGCTGCTCAAGAGGACAAAGTAAAGTATTATAATGACATATGCAAATGCCTGGAGTTAGAAAACCAAAAGGGAAGAACATGCTCAGCATTTCTCAAGCTGAAAGAACTGAAGAAAAAATTCAGGCCTCAAGTTGCAATATTAAAGGATTCTGTGGGGAAAGTATTAAATGACCCAGGAAGCATT